AAATTATACTTCAATGGATGGTTAAAAAAATTACAAATCAGCAATAAGCTTAATGAACTTTAATAATTAAATATATAAAAAAAGTTATAAATTTATAAATATTTTATGAAAGTTCCACTTTATTTGCATTTTTCCCTTCTTTTAAGTAAAATATTGGAGATTTTGAATTTTAAATTTATAAATTTACTTACAATAATGTGGAAAGAGAGTTGAGCCGACGTAGGAGCCTTTTGGGAAGCTAACAAAAAATTAGCTTTTAGTTTTAACCTATTTTTGGTCACATCACCTCTTTCATTTTTTATATACAAAAGGACAAAAAAAGCCGCAAAAAAGTCAACTTTTAATCAACTTCTCCAATCACCCGATAGTTGAATGTGTGACAAATTAAAAATTATCAATTATCATATCACATCATTGCAAGTTATTGGAGAAGTTATTTTCAAAGTCTCAAATATTTTTCTTCTTTTAATTAATGAAAAACTGGAAGCTATACTAAATGGTCATTTGATACCTTAACTATCTAACAAATGTGAATTAGCATTTTTCACTTGTAAAATTTTATATTGATTTGAAGTAATCGTGATACTTCGAGGCCACCGATTAAATGCGATAAGATTGTTGATAAGATTGTAACGAATAAGTTATATCATGATGAGATGAATGATTAGATATATATGATATAGAATTATACAGAACAAGTTATAACATAATAGATGGGATAAATGATTGAATAAAAAGAGTGATGTATTATATTTGTTTAGAATAAAATAAAAATGTGTAACTATTTTTTGGTGTTGGATGAGGAAAAAAATAATTCGGAGATACCTAATTCTTCTAATACCACAATACGTATGGTATTAATAAATTCCTTATTTTTCTCTATTTCATTTTTCATCCCAGTATTAAAATTATGTAAAATTGTAATAACATATAATATAAACAACCTATTAATAATCCAGTGTGCCCAAATGTTCCCCCCACATTTAATCCCAAGTGATTGGCAAACAAACAAGCCTTGAAAGTACAGGAAAATCACACCCCAAAAACATGGGCCTGAAGGCCCATACAACCCGTTAAAATGGTTCATAATTTATGAAACTTAGAATTATATTTTGAATAATGACTTGGACCCTTTTTTGTCCCACCCCTTGACCCCTTCTTCACTTGATTGGCTACTTTTTCTTTCTTCTCTTTTTTTTATTCCTTCTCCTCCAATCACCACCTACCACGTGTCTGTGGGGGGGGATGGTGAGAGTGGTGATTGGAGGGGTCTCAATCATTATCCTTATATTTTAAACTCATAGAATCAGATTGAGCATTTTTTGTTTTTTGTTTTTTTCTTTTGTTTTATGTCTGTTCATAACCATGGCAGGCTTGAGAAATTGTTTGAAATCCCGGCTGAGCCCGTAAATTTTATATGTACACAAATACATATTGCATGTATTTATTTTTATTTTATTTAACGTTGTTGTTTGACATGAAAAACAATTTATTAATGAATTAGTTTTAAAAAATTAGGGTTTAAGATTTTACGAACCGATTGGAATAAGAAAGTGATTCTTTATAGGGATGCAACTTGGACAGGCTCAACTCGAGCAAACCGAACCCAACTTGAATTTTTTTAGGACTTGGACAAGATATTTTTAAATTCAGTACGGGCTTGGGCAAAAATTCAGAAGCCCGAATTAAATTTGGAAGGGGTGGGTAAAGACATCAAACAATTTTTTATTTTCATTCATTAATTATAAAGACTACTATAGCGGCATCTCTCTTACATTATATAAATTATTTGTGTTGATGGTATTAATGATTTTCTATATATAAAAAACGTAAATAAAGTCAAATTTTAATAATTTAATAATGTAGCTGCAAAAAAAATAAAAATAAATACAATTCAGGTAATTCGGTCAATTCGATTTTAACTCAGGTCGGGCTTGAACAGGCAATCTCAGGTTACAATTCGGACTTAGGCGGTCCTGGGTAGATCTCAGCACAACTTAGGTTGAATTTGGACAACCTCCCAACCCGACCGAACCTGCCCGAGTTGCCCCCTAATTCTTTAGTATGTATTTTAATAGGAATCATATTCTCAAACTAGTAATCCAATTTCCCTGCTTATCCATGGGAATTTCACATTTCTAGAGAAAATTGTGCTCCAGAATATTTTAATTTTATTATTTTTAACTAAATATAATCCATGCACGCACAAGGCGGTGTTTAAGCGTTCTCAAATATGATATTTTTAAAAAAATTATATAGTATTATGTAAAAATTTAGGTAGTTTTCGCAAATTGAAATCATTAAAATTATTAAAAATTAAATATGATGGTGTCAAAATGACTTGTAAAAAAAAAAAAAAAAAAATTGCACAGAAAATACATCTTAAACAATGTGTCAATAATATTTTTGATATTCTTATGACAATAGTTGATATTTTGATTAAAAATGAATAGGCAATAAGAAATATAAAGTTTATATAAAAATTTTGTAGATAAATTACGCTTAGGCCTTGTTTGGGAACAAGTTATTTTAATATTTTTTAACTTTTTATAAAAAAAATGTTTAGAAAAATAGGGAGAATAATGTGACAACTTATATAATTTTCTGAATTTTTGGCTAAAATTGAAAGTTGTTAAACAAGGCCTTAATACTCCTACACTTTCACCAAAATCTCACATTAGTTCCTTCAATTCCAATTTTAATAGTCAACTTCTTATACTTTAAGTTAAGTTACAATCTCCTTCTAACCATCTACCGTTAACAAAGTTGACAAAATTTGTCATTTGATGCATATGTAACATTTTTGCTGTCTTATTAACACTCTTACACTTTTATTAAAATTTCACTTTAGTTCTCATACTTTCACCAAAAACTCACTTTAATTCTTTCACTTTTAATTTTTGTTAGTTTTATTAATGTTAAATGAACAGAATGCTAAGATTAAGGGGTTGTTTAGGATGTCCTAAATAAGTGCACTTTTTGTCTTTTTAGACTAAAAAATTGAGGTTGAAAATATAAATGTTTGGGTTAACTTTTTGACTTTTTATGGAAAAAAAAAATGCATTAAAAAATTGTATAAATTAATGTGTAGGAAAAAATTAGTATTAAGAGTTGTACAGCCGTAATTGTTAACTTTTGATAAATAGTGATAACTTTTTGACTTTTTGAGTAACTTTTTGACTTTTTTGAGACTTCCCAAACTTGGTCTAAAATTTGACTTAAAGTACATGAGATTGATTATTACAATTCAAAGTGAAAATATCAAAATAAAATTTTAATAAAAGTATAATAATACTAAGCATAATTTACTCAAATTTTATTTGTATCTCGTTACTCTTTTTTGGAAAGTAGAACATAGTTCAGAGTTATTCTTGTTTTTAGGCACTAGATTCTTAGATCTTTATAAATAAAAAAAAATATTTCCTCACATAAAGACTTCTTGTCTTTTGTTTCTTTGTTTTCATTCTCTCTTCTCAAGGGATTAAAAATTGCACAATTTCTAATCCAATATGAAATGATAATATCAAAGATAACTTATTGAATAATACCACTAAATTAATTTTTGAAGCCTTATTTATAAGTCCTTTTTCAGACACCTATGGTAGGCTAAGTTCTTTGTAATTTCTTATAGAATTTCAAGTCCTATTTAGATAGGAATATATTCTACAAGATCCTACATAAACGTAACGTAACGTGACACTTACATAAACGTAACGTGACGTGACACCTATATAAACGTAACGTACCGTGACACCTACATAAATATAACGTAACGTGTCACGTTACGTTTCGCAAACTTAATGAGTTTTTATTTGTTTAAATTGAATGTGAAAATGTTGCTGCTTTATATTGGTGTCACGTTACGTTTCATATAAATATGATCTATGTAGGAAATTGAATGTTGCCATAAATCATAGGTGTCACGTTACGTTTATGTAGGTATCACGTTACGTTACGTTTATGTAGATATGATCTATGGTAACATTTAATTTCCTATATAAGAAATTAAATGTTTCCATAAATCATAGGTGTCACGTTACGTTTATATAGGTGTCACGTTACGTTACATTTATATAGATATGATTTATAGTAACATTCAATTTTCTATATACGGTTTTACTATTATTTATGATATTAACAACTAATATTGAGAGTAAATGTGTCAATAAACTTCTCACAAGACTTATAAGAACATAATTTTTTTAATAAAACCACATATAACATAAGTCTTCTTAATAAGACTTATAAATAATTTTTTCTTAATTTCTTTTGACTGCGCGACTATCCATGCATATCCATTTCCTTTACATCTTTTTGAAGGGTTTTGAAAGTTGGGAAAATTGCAAATACATAGAGTAGTGGGAAAAAATTACACTACAAATAAAAATAAAAAAATAAAAATAGTGCAACTCTGATATCCCTGAAGATTTGCACCGTGCACAAAAATGAATATACAGGAGAGCTGTACCATCATAAAATATATATTTTTCTTTAATTACTCCACTAAAATGCAATTTTCACTTGAAAATTTCCATGTGAAAGATACTCAAATGTAGAATTGATCTCTCAAAAAATTAATTGAACTAAATTATCCCATAAAATGTCTAAACATATAATTGACCCTCTAAAACATCAATTGAAACCAATTGCATCATGAAGTTTAATCAATTTGGGCAATGTAAATGTTAGAAATAGTTTTTGAATATAATATACAATTTTAAAATTGGAAAGTGATTGAGACCCCTCCAATCACCGCATCCACCACCTCTACATACAGGTAGGGGCTAGTAATTGGAGGAGAAAAAAAAAAAATTAGCCAATAAAAAAAAGAGGGGGTCGTGAGTATATCTTGTCGGGGTTCAACTTCAAGTCATTTTCCTTTTAAAATTTTCTTTTATACCGGAAAAATATCCGACAGGATAAGTTCACGCCGACCCTAGAGCTCAAAACCCACTGATTTAAGAAGAGAGAGAGAGAGAGAGAGAGAGAGAGAGAGAGACCTTAAGTGTTACGCTATCTTTACACGCCGCTGATCATTTAACAGCCTCTGCTCGGCACTTCAATGCAAACCTTATTTTGTGTTACCTACTCCAACACTCTGCAAAACCAACCACATTCCACCGCATCAATATATATATATGATTCTCAAAATATATATATATATATATATCAAAAGATGATGGATAATGACTTGAGAGTCTTGAGGGTAATTAACCCTCAAAACTTTTAAATGCAAGATAATGTTTAATTAACTAATATGATAAGTGTTACGCTAATTTGTAGTCAAGAAAAAAAATTATAATAACAAAATATTTATTTTTGTACAAATTTCTTTTTTTTTTTTTCTTTTGCATGAATCGAATTTCATTTGTTATCTCATTTTGTAATTCTTAAATACAAAATAATGAGTCTCACGTAAAGAATACACATGGAAACTACTCACTTGTGTAGAGTGAGAAAAAAAAAATATATATATATATATATATAACATTGTTTCAATTTTTTTTAGGCACTTGGGCTTTCTTTGAAGTACATAAATATAGACAGAACATATATGTTCGATGATAGAAATAATAGAATAACCAGAAATATAATATTGTACAAATAAAATTTTTATAAAATTTCATGCATAGTCATGACATGACTTTTTATGGTTCATTTGTTTGAAATAAAAAATTCATTATTGTGATTCATAATTGCATGAATGTTATGCATAAAAATTCTATGTATAAAATTATTTTACTAAGAAAAACTAAAAGCTTAAAACTAGAACTATCATGTTACATCACTAATTAGAATAAAGTATGTCAAAAAAAATAAAAACAAAACAAAACAAGATCTATATATAGTGAAAATGAATGAGGTGTGAAACTGTCAAGTGTTTTTGACTTTGAACCCCAAAAACATACGTTAAAGCATTTAAAGCAGACGTAAGAAGCATGAGAACAAACAGATAGATAATCATAAATGTGAGATTTTTTAAGAAGAAAGAAAGGAAACAGTGATCCGATCCGAGAAACCTTATAAGGTGTATGTATGCTTTTGAAAAACAGCAAAAGCGTTTCAACAAAACAAAAAGATGCTATCACAAAACATACCTCATTCACACTAGCTATAGCTTCCAAAATAAAACAAAGAAACAAAAACCCAAGAGACAGACTTGAAAACAAAGATATACTATATCTATTTGTGAGAGAGAAGAAACAAAACCCAAGAGAGTCTTGGAAACGTTGATGCAGACAAAGCTAAGCAAAGGCAAAGAATGTGTTTTGAAACGAAGCACGAAGCGATGTTGTCAAGGAATAATAGAGTTTTGGGACATGTAAATATAAACAAATTTGTGTTTGTGTGGTTAGCTCAGAAAAAGTAGATTAATTTAAGTATAGGAAGATTTTACAGATGCAAGAAAAACAATGACCATTATATATATTGGATTCTATATCTATATCCTTTTATCTCATATTTGTGTATCAATAGTATCATACTATGCTATGTGAAAATAGTTAGTGTTAGTTTGTGTTCCTAGCGAAGTTCAAAAAAAGAGAATGTTTACTCTTTAATATTTTTATGTGATGAATATTTACTTATCATTATTTTTTAATAAATTAAATGTGAAAATATACTATGTCCATATGGAATGATAATTATATTATATTTTTATTTCAGTGAATCAATTGTTAAGAATTTAAAAATAAAATATAGAATAAACTCAACATAACTTGAATATTTTAAAATTTAAAGATCAAAAGCTGGCTTTATTAATTGTTGGTGTCCATTTTTATGATATCTGAATTCGAGTCTTATAATTGTCTTTAAATTATAAAAATATATATATATTAAATTTATAGTATATATATTAAAATTTGGTGTGATTGAAACTTTCAATCTCCATATCTGAAATAAATAAAATTTAAAAAAAAGGAAAAAAAAAAAAACAAATTTATTTTATGTGTCACATATTATATTAAATATGAATCTACACCAACAATTCAGATACATTTCAAAATATTTTGTAAGTACATAAATATATATATATATATATATTGTGAAATAAAATAAATAAATGAAACAAACAAACAAACAAAGGTTACTTTAGTAAGCAAAAAGCAGAGCATGCTGAGAATGAAAGACTCTTCAGTAGTGTTGAGTCTTCTTGACCCTACCTTTAAGAAAAGGGACTTTAAACACACTACACAAGTAAAAAGAAGGGCTTTGGTAAGATTATAGCTTTATGTGCATATAAAAGTATACAATACACTTAAAGCGTGCATTTGATTTGATAAAACAAATATATGTTTCGAAAAACAAAACGAAATCAAAAGAAGTAGATTGTAGTTTTTTGAAGGAGAATATGTTAAAGAAATCAAAAAAAAGTGTTAGATACTTGGATTAGATTCCATACACAGAGAGAGATATACATATGATACGAATATCTCTCTGCAACTGCAAAGCTTTCAGTGCGTTTCATTGCTGGTTCCTTCTTTTCTTCTTTGCAGATCTGACATACATATATATGTGTGTGTGTTTTTAGAGAGAGAGTCTGTTGACGGAAATGTGATCGGAAAGTGACATTCCGGCGAGAGAGAAACGTGGAGATGAGAGAGAGAGAGAGAGGGGGGTGGGGGCTCGAAAGCAAACGTGAGTGAGTCGGCTTTGAAAAAGGAAGAGGGCAGTGCAGGCGGGCACTGCGTTCGAAGCTTTTTATACTACTCCTGCCCCTTTTGACGGCGACGTTTTGTCTCAATTAAACATTTGTCGAAGAGCACATCTTCTCTCCCGTCCGAACTGAATATTTGATATTTAGTAATTTCACAATATGAATATTTGATATTTTATAATATTATGTGGTGCTTTGAAAAGTTAGTAAAAAATTAAAGTGTGTTTGGTGTGTGTTTATAGAGTAGTTTTTGAGATAAAAAATACGAAAATTTGTTTGGTTTGTCATTTTTCATAAATAGTTTTGAAAAATTATTTTAGAGAGAGAGTTTTAAAAAAAGTGATTGATTTGATGTGTATGAGAGAGAAAGTAATTTTGGAAAATAGGTAACCAAACAAAATTTTAAGATTTTTTTTAAAAAAATTTATTTGGTTTGATTACTCTTAAAAATTTATTTGTAGAGAATTTTTTTCAAAAAATTTTAAAAAAAAATAAACAAAACAAGGCCTTAATTTTTGAATTTTTTTATTCTATTTTATTTTTTTTAATAAAAAATATAAAAAGTAATATGACTCAAAATAAAAACTTTTTATTTGCTTTCCAAAACACTCGTATCAGTGGTGAAGAAGATAAATAAGTAATATTATATTAAATAATTAAAAAATAAGAGATAATATATTATATAATAATTAATTAAGAAATATATACATGTAATAAGAAAATGTCTCGTAACTCAAATTTTGTGGCTCAAAAGTGGCTCAAATGGCCAAAACAACGTCATTTTGGTCATTTTTATGTTGTTTTGTACTCAAAACGACATCGTTTTGGCTATTTGAGCCATTTTTGAGCCACAAAATTTGAGTTACGTAACATTGTCGTTACGAAAATATTAAATAATTTCTCGGTCTAAAATCAGACTCAACGGTAGTGTTAGATTATTGTGGGTTTGTTAGATTATTGTGGGGGTGGATATCCGGTTCATCTCGATAATTTACATTATTTAATGTACATAATTTGTTGAATAGATTAATTTTTATAAAAATAATTACGTTAATTAGATTTTGAGCCACTTTTGAGCCACAAAATTTGAGTTACGTAACATTGTCGTTACGAAAATATTAAATAATTTCTCGATCTAAAATCAGACTCAACGGTAGTGTTAGATTATTGTGGGTTTGTTAGATTATTGTGGGGGTGGATATCCGGTTCATCTCGATAATTTACATTATTTAATGTACATAATTTGTTGAATAGATTAATTTTTATAAAAATAATTACGTTAATTAGATATTTATAATTATTTAATCGATTGTATTTATTTTAATAGTAATTATAATTTTAAAAATAAATCACAAATACAAATGTTAGTTGATTAAGTTATTATCGATGTCTTATTAATATAATTTTTTACAAGAATAACATATTTTATGCAATTTATATATTAAATAGTTTGAATTATTGAGATGGATTTAGAATCGGGCCCCACCACGATCCAACACCATTCAGTCTGTAACGCCCCTAAATTTATAAATAATAATTTAGATATGATAAATATACCCAATATACGATCCTTCCTCAATCAACCAATTCCCTTAATTAGTATTTCATTTCATAGAAGATGTATACAAAAGTATTCACATGTAATACATATTCACCTTCTTAAAAAAAAATGAATCCATAGCATGTGTAATTATATAAAAGTAAAATAAATAAACAACAAAGTAGATGCTCACATGCTACAAGTTTCAAGACTTAAATCTGGTTACACAAAAAGATTGTCAAACGCAAATGTATTAAGTCCTTGGCTTGCAAACAAAATTACACAAAAAGGAGAGCCTCTTGCCCTCAAAATATTCCACACCTTCAACTAGGTGGGATCACCACAGCCTTTGCTGTACAAATCCACTAGGGATGAGCACAAAACTCAGTAGAGATATCTCAACAAAGTATATATGTTTTAAGCAGTTTCACATATATGAATGTAATACCATGCCATGTTCAAATGTCAAAGTTCTCCATTCCTTTTGAAAATACATGCAATAATTCATCTAAAGTTCGCTTTCTTTATACATGTAAAAGTTTAGAAAAATGGGTGGTAAATACAACTCATGTGATCCTTAGACTGGTGTCTTCAAATAAGCATAACAAGCACTATCAATCCCCTACTTTAAGGACTTCTAACTTGAAGGCACGCGGTACCTCCTCCGTACATGTTTCTAGTCTTTCACCCTAGATACTTAGACTAACTTAACCAATACCAATTACACCCCCTAATCGGACTTGCCAAACGTATTTAACCCAAAACTTTTGTCAATAACAACGAATAAATTTCCAAGTCAAGATCATAAATGAACAATATTCAAGATGTTGCAAATGAATGAAATGAGAAATAATTACATATAGAGATATCTCTAAAATTCTCAACATTTGTTCAAATAAAACTTCCATGGCTCGACAGTTTCTCAAAAATCATGGCAAGGTACGAATCTATGTGACATATGACATTCCCTTATATTCACAATCAATATCCATTTTTTAATTTTTCCATGATCTAAACATTCATACCATATATTACCATAATTGCTCAACCGCAATTCTTATTTCTTTCATGAGTGCCTCAATAACACAACAACATAAGGAAGATTTTCTTCAATTTCTCAAGGATTTAACATCAATCCCATGGATATTTTACCAAAACCTAAGGTTTGATGGTTTGATCAAAAGAGAGTTTTTCCTTTATTTTCAAAATAACTACTAGTATGCATTCCCAAGTGGTTCATAGTACCCAAAATAATTTATCTTAGATCAAATCATGAGAAAGAAATATTTTCTATAATATTTTCTACATTCAACATTTTAAAGCACAAAACCCAAACTTGAAATTATAGAGATATGAACAAGACATCCTAAAATCATATATATAACTTAGAAAATTCCTATCTCAAGACTTTGAGAAGAAAAGATGAAAAACTCTGAAATCAGTGGCGTTAAAATCCGATCTTCACTGTACACAACATAACCCTTGACAAGCTCTCTAAAATTAAAAAAGACGCTAAGGTCAAAATCTCAATGGCTAATGAGAGATCAATGAAGTAATTGAAGTGGGTGGAAGGTTTCTAGAGAGAGATAAAAGAAAAGAGAGTGAGAGTTAATGTAAAAAGAGAGTTTGAAGTGAAAAGTGTGTGAGGCTCAACTTTTGGAATGATTTGACACAATTTTTCAAGTAAATTGTGAATAGGCTGCTCGAGCGACCAAACTTGCACTCGAACGAACAATTCAAATTTGAAAGATTACTTAAGCGACCAAACTTGCGCTTGAGAGAATAATACCAATTCCCATAATCTTCACTCTCCTCTGCAAAAGACCGCTCGAGCAAAAAACACTTACTCCCAAAAGTTCAGATTGCAAAATAAGATACTAGATAGTTGATTTCACTGCTCGAGCGACCAAAAGACCGCTCAAGCAGTCTCAACTTGAAGTGAGACAAAGCATCCTTAAAATATATCTCACCTCTCCAATTCCACTCCAACACCCAAAAGTATAAAAAGACATCTTGGAACTCACTAAAATATACCTATCAGAACAACCACGAGGAAGAATAGATAACCACACAAAACTCAAAAGGTTCAACGATGACGATGACGATGACGATGACGAAGACAACACAAAAAGATGGAAATTACCGATTAATACACTCAATTTGCTTCAAAAGGATTCAAGACATCACAACCAGTCCGTTTTCGAATGGGATAGAAGTTGGACCTTATTTCATACTATGTAAAATAATTTGTCAAAAATAAATTTTTTTATCAAAAAAATGCAAAATAATTAATAAATAAAAATTCATATAAAATATCTTATAACAATGATGATTATGTCTCGTGATATTTTAAAAATTATTAGTCATTTAAATAATTTTTTTAATTTTAAATAGAAAAAATTAGTGATAAATCCAATCTAATGAAAGTATAAGGTAATAGGTTCAATGGATATTTTCTATTAGTGAGAGGTCCACATTTTTGTAAAATAGTTTGGTGAAAAGTCTTTTATTTTCTTAGGACATTTTTTTTCCAATTTTACCCTTTAATTTATCTGTTGACTTTTTTTTTATTTGTTGACTTTCGTTGACTATCTGTTAAATTTTTTTCTATCTATTTAAAAAAATTTATCCATCTGTTCAAATTTTTTTGTCTATCTACTCAAATTTTTTTATCTATCTGTTTAAATTTTTTTATCTGTTGAATTTTTTTAACCTATCTATTGAATTTTTTTATTTGCTGGATTTTTATAATTTATTTTTTTATCTATTCAATTTCACACACACCATTTTCAAACTTTTTCTCTATATCCGTTTCTCTCTACCTTTATTTTCTGTCTCTATCTTTCTCTCTATTTGTTTCTCTGTATTTCTTATTTCTCTATCTCTATTTGTTCTCTCATCATTTCTCTTTTCTCTCTCTATCTGTTGAAAAAAATCCTTATTGAATTTTTTTTTCTATTCTTCTCTTTTATTTTCCATTCTCTATTTTTCCTTCTCTGTTAGGTTAAATGTCTCTCCCTCTATTTATTGCAATTTGTTTCAACAACAACAATAATAATAATAATCAACAAAAACTACAAAAAATAAAAATAAAAATAAAAATTTATAGAGATCTAAACTACAGAAACAAAAATTTCTAGAGATTCGGACTTTGTGTGAACCGTGACTATGTGTGAATTGTTGATTGTTATTGAGAGGGAGATTTGTGCCGAACAGTGGGCCGAGCTATACCAACACGGAATATGGGCTACGCAAATTTGAGGATGGCTTTGTTTTGACACAAATCGCAATTGTCGACAGTGTGAGAGAGATCACAAGGGTCGACAGTGAGATCACGATAGGCGACGGTGCGAAAAAAGAAAGAGAGCGAGAGTGGTGACAGAGATGGTAGCGGCAGAAGAGGAGTGGTGGCGATCGAAAGCTGAGAACACGGTGGTTCTGATGGAGGAGTGGACAACGAAGATGCGG